ACTGTAGAGCTTTTTTTTTTTTTTTTCTTCCCAATTTGGCAAGAGGTAGGAGTAATAGTGGACTGTTAATGTTAATAGGAGCTCAGACAATATGCTGTTTTCATAGTCTTGTTATAGTTATGCATGTTGTCAGAGTATAAGAAAATTCATTTGTTTCATATTGTTGATTTGGATGTAAATATGGATCTTTCTTTTTTTTTCTAACTAGGTGGGCTTATGCCATACAGGGTGTTCTAGAAGTAAATGTTTGCCCCAGTTTACGGATGTGGTCATGGAAGCATATTAGACACCATAGACAAAATATGAAACAATACAGAGAACTGTATAAGAAAAAGCTAACAAACAAGAAGCCACCTGCTGAAGTGCTCATGTCTTTGGAGGTTAGCATTTTAAAACAATCATTGAGTACTTTGCTCTACATAATTCTTCCTTAGCCCACCCCCTTTAAAAAAATTTATGTATTTTCTATGTATGTGTGCATACACAGTGTGGTTCATGGGTAGAACTTACAGAAAAATTTGTTCTCCCCTTTTACCATATTAATTCAGGGATCCAAAATCAGGTAGTCAGACTTGGTGGCCTTACCCACTGAGTAGTCTTGCTGACCCTTCTCAGTTTCAGTGAATTCTATTTTTTAATTATTCAGTGTTGCTCTTTTATTTGGACATTTTTGTGCTTTAATCTTAACTTGGGTAATGAAAGAGCTGAGGAAATTCTCCAGTGAGTTTTGGAAATTTTTGAGATTATTTTTAAATAGAAAAGATTTGGGTTCATGTACATAGTAACTTGAAACCTCATTTATATCTTTTTATAAGCCTCAGAAATGTTTGATGTATCTCTTCTCACCTTCTCTGTATTGAGTTCAAAGCCAGGCATTATCTTGCAGAATGCATTTCATTATACTGTCTCACTATGCATTCATTAAGTGAGTTTGTTGTTTACCTGTAAGCTCACACTTCTAGATGTCCCTGTACTCATCATGTATACCACCTACCTGTCCTCATATAACTCTGCTTTTTTCTGAAGTTCTGATCTTTTGTCCCTTGCAAGAACCTCCTGAATTTTCTGCCCATACAGACCCTTGAATCTTCATTTTGTGACATCCACACATAATCTTTATCAGCAACTTTCTATTTAATTTACCTTGAACTATTAGTTTTGTATTAATCTTGTCTTTTAGCATTATGGTGGATAGTAAAAGGGATTTTTTTTTTTAACAGAAGGATAAATTTCAGTTTAAAGAGACTGAGGGGAACTAGCTTCTTGAAATTAATGTTAACGATTCTGAATCTAGAATGGACTTTCAATTAAAAATTCTGAGAAGATTGAATTCTTACATTTTCCTTTCCTTTTCAAGGAAGAAGATGCTAAACACTAGGAGCAATTAGGAATTCTTGGGTTTAGAGGCCTTTTGGGTAGTTTCAGATTTCCTTACTTAGTCATGTGTCTTAACCTGAACCCTGTAAGTATATTGGATAGTAGACTCCTGAGTGAGTGAAGGTCTTTTCTAGATTAATAGTATGTCATAGTTGCTTCTCCTGAAGGAAAAAGAAGCTTGAACCTGAAACTTGAGAGTAATCCTAGGAATTCATAGATATGATGACAGATTTAACTTGTCTCAGTTTAGTCATTAGACATAATAACTTTTAAAAGCATAAAAATTAAAATAAATTTTTACAAATTTTAAGTACATCTAGGTCCACTTGAAATATCCTAATGATGTAAACTGTGCATGTAGATGAAGGACTAATTACATCATTTATCGAAAATGGTCCAGATAATTATTATCTTTATTTGTAATTAAAGCCCACATGAAAGACATTTAAAATTGTATGGTGTCTTTTAGTATCTATCTTTACTATATTTATAGAACTTATAACACTATATTTATGATTTCTTTTTCAAAAGGTATTTTAATTTCCATATTTATTTAATATATCAGATAAAACATACTGATAAGAGATAACTTATATTTATGGTGTTCTGTTTTCTGTTTCTTATCGTATTTTAGTGTAGTAGCTTATATACTAAAGATTTAATGTAAAATTATGAAATTAACATATTCTTCTTTATATTTTTAGGAGTTGGAAAAAATCCTGGATGTTTTTAATATAACTATAGCTAGACAACAGGCAGAAGTTGAGGTAATTTCAGATTATCTTTAAATTAATAAGGATCTATCTAGCATGAATAAATCAAATGCATTGACATGACAGAGATTATGTCATATCAATATTGTACTGCAACATACAGCTTTTGAAGAGCTCAACTTTTGTCTTTTGGTGTGTTTTATGAAAATTCGATTTAATTTTGGCCACACATTCTTAAATCAGACAAAATGCCTTGTAACTAATTAGGCTTATGAAAACGTCATGGTTCATATGAAGATCAAAAGCCAAATTCTTATATTTGGTAAATGTTGCTGTTAACCATGTTATGTTTGCTAATTCACTGAGATAAATTTGTTTCGAAAATATTCTGCTTCCATTTATTTTGATTTCTAAAACAAGGATACCTTGTTATCTATTGGAAATTTTATTTATTTTAGGCAAAGAAAGCTGGCTACAGGATTTACAAAGAAGGAATAAAAGACCCGGAGGATAATTCAGGATGGTTTAGCTGGCTGTGGAACTGGTCAGAATCAAATGCTAAACAGCAGCTAGATGTTAAACCTGGACGTATGTTCATTTCATTTTATATTAGTATATTTAGTTAATTACCAAGTATAAAAATAAAGTTTTTCAAAAAAGTTTTCTTTCCAATTAAAATAGTAAGTATATATAATGATATATAGTTAAATTTATTACCATCAAAATTATAAAATTACTGTTAAAGCATTTTAAAGTATGTTAAGTGAATAGTTAAATCTTACTAATGCTTGTAAAAGGGCTTTATATGTAGGAAATTTAGTGCTACCACGTATGAATTAGTAATGGGTAAATGAAAGTTGCAAAATGTTCAAAGTGTGTGTGTTTGTGTGTGTGTGTGTTGTCTGTGTATTAAGCCCAGGGTCTTGCTTATACTAAAGCAGCATACACTCTACCTCTGAGCTATTTCCTCAACCCCTTAACCATTTTTTTTTTTTTTTTTTTGGTCTTTTTGAGACAAGGTCTCCTTATAGCCCCAGCTGTTGTGGAACTCACTATGTAGACCAGGCTGGCCTTGAACTCAGAGATCCACCTGCCCCTGCCTCCTGAGTGCTGGGATTAAAGGCATGCGCCACCACACCGGCCCCTTAACTATTTTTAAGTGAAGAGTTTTTGTTTTGTTTTGTTTTGACATGGGTTGGGGGTGAGGAGGGTTCCTTACTGTGTTACCACAGCTGAGTTTATCACTATCTTTCTGGCTCAGACCCTGGGTATTGGAATTAGAGACAGCATGCAACTGTGCCAATTAAGATTTGTAGTTTTCACCTAAATAATAAAGATCATAGCTTTGAATGATTAGGGTCTTAGATATTATATATGTTTTGGATGTATCATTTGTTAACAGTGTGGCCCTGGCAGATTAGACATGCTAAATCGATTTTATCTATCTGTAAATTGGGAAAAAAGATATTTTATTTCCCTACTTGGTTTTACTCTTAACACAATACCCATAAGCTCTTGTTTAATGTAAACAGAATTTTTTAGTGCTATATTTACATTTAATAACAAATTTTTGAAAAATCACTTCTAAAATTGCCAATAATAATAATCTACTGTTCATTGCTTTTGAGGGTAATGCTAAAAGGAAATTTCTGGGCTGGCAAGATGGCTCAGGGTGTAATGGTGGTTGCAGCCAACCTTGTGAACTGAGTTTGATCCCTGGATCCTACCCACATGGTAGAAAGAGAGAACCAACTCCTAAAAGTTGTCCTCTGACACTCTACACGTGCTGTGTCATTGTGCATGCACATACATACAAAATAAAAAAATGTAATAGCCGGGCATGGTGGCAAACACCTTTAATCCCAGCACTCGGGAGGCAGAGACAGGTCGATCCTGTGTGAGTTTGAGGCCAGCCTGGTCTACACAGTAAGTTCCAGGACAGCTGGGGCCACAAGGGAGACCCTGTCTCAAAAAGACAGAAAAAAAAAAAACAAAAAAAAAAAAAAAAAAAAAAAAAAAAAAAAAAAAAAAAATTGTGATAAAATAAAAATCTGCATTTTGTTTTATAAGGCCAATTAAATTATATTTGTTTATATTACCATTAGTAAGAAAGCACTTTATGATTTATAGTTCTTGAAGAAATGTTGACGCCCGAAGAAAAAGTTTTACTCTATGAAGCAATTGGCTATAGTGAAACAGCAGTTGATCCAACCTTGCCAAAGACAGTAAGCTATTTTCTTGCTTTATACCTCCAAGTTTAATGTTAGATGTACCTCCTGTAATTCTTGCAGAAATAATATGCTGCCAACTTTTCTATAATGTTTTTCAGTGTCTGTAAATAATACATTTATTTTAATTTCCAGAATAGGAATAAAAATGTCCTTTTTTTTTTTAATATAGTGATTCTTTGATAGATTAAGGGTTGTTTTAAAAATATCTTCAGAGCTAGGTGTGGTGGCACATGCCTTTAATCCCAGCACTTGGGAGACAGAGGCAGGTGGCTCTCTGTGAGATCAAGGCCAGCCTCTTCTACTTAGCGAGTCCAGGCTAGCTAGGACTACAGGGAGACCCTGACTCAAAAACAAACAAAACCCCAAATCCCCCAAAACAAAATTAAAAATATCTTCACTTTATGGAATAAATGAATTATGTGAATAAGATTATTCATTGAATTTATATGTGTCTCCCCCCCTCCCCTTATTTCATTCTGGATATGTTTTAGTTTGAAGCCATGAAATTTTTTGTTCATTTGAAAAGTATGTCTATTATTCTAAGAGAAAATTGCCAAAAGCCAGAGCTGATAGACATTGTAGTGGAAGGATTCAGTACGTTGATTGTGCAAAGACCAGGAGCACAAGCAGTAAAGTAAGTATAAATTTATTTTCTTTCACGTGTTAAGCATCCCTAATCTGAACATGTAAAATACAAAGTTTCAAATGCTTTTGACATAAAACTATTAATGGAAAATTCCACATCTGACTTTGTATGATGGATTGCTGTCAAAACATAGATGCACTAAATATATTGTATAAAATTATCTTTCGACTATATACATAAAATGTGTAGTATATCTAATATAATAAATATAATTATATACAAAATATCAGGTATCTGCTCCAGGCATTTCACATAAGGGTCATACTCAACTTGCATCTTACATTTCACTGTAATGTTGAAGCCTTTTCAGTCTTGGGAAGAGTACTATAATTTTATGTATTATGTTTATTTTAGAAGCTTGGATTTTTCTCCTGTATTATGCTATTTTAGGTGGGATAATTAATGTATTAATTGTATATACATTCTGTAGAAAGCTACATGCTAATGAGGCATAGAACATTAAAGAAAAATTAGAAAGTAATACTTGCACGTTACAAAAAAAATAAGAAATGTGTTTTTTAATGTGGACATCTTTTTTTTACACATCCCTCTGTTTTCTTTCTTCTTCCTTCCTTCTATTCTTTTCCCTTCCCTCCGTTCCTCCTTCCTTTCCCTCTTTCCATTCCTCCCTTCCTTTTTGTGGTAGTACAATATCACAGCAATGCCTTTACATGTGTGCACATGCACCTTCATACCCATACCCACATACACACATCACATATTTAAAGAAAAGGTTTTATTGTGAACATATAAATGAAATCATGCTGTATGTGATCTTTTCTATTTGGTTTTTTTTCCATTTATCATGATATTATTCATGTAGCACAAATTTATACTTAGTTCCTTTTTATTGTCTATATTTGATTTTATTGCTGTACCATATTTTGTGTGTCAATTCAACAAATTATGAATAATTCAGTTGCTTCCACCTTTCACTTACTGTGAATACTAATATGGATATTCATGGACAAAGTTTTGTTTGGATACAGGTTTTTATTTTTTGGTATATTCTACTGAGCAGTAGAATGGTTGCCTAAAGAATTAGTTATTTTTCTGTTGTAATAAAATACCATGACCAATAGCAACTTAGAGAAGAAAGCGCTTACTTTGGCTTATAGTTGCAGCGGTCCATAATAGTGGAGGAGGCAAAACAGTAAGGGGCTGGAGCAGAAAGCTGGCTAATCATATTTCATTCACACTGAGCAAACTGGAAGTGCAAGAAGACTATAAAATCTCAGAGCCCACCGCAAGTGACATGCTTTCTCCTGCAAGCTTCCATGTTAAAGTTCTGTAACCTTCCCAGACATTGCCACCAACTAGGGATATCAAGTGTTCAGATACCCAAGCCAGTGAAGGATAGTTCTTATTCAAGCGTCAACATATGCTCATGTTTAACTTTTTGAGGAACTGTCAGATAATATCCCAAGCAGGCACAGTATTTTAAAGTTTTTTTTGATTACTTTTATTTATGTATATTTGTTTGGGCTTGAGTGTGTGTGTGTGTATGTATGTATGTATGTATGTATGTGTGTATGTATGCCAAGTATGTGTCAGGGCCTGCGAAGGCCAGAAGAGGGTGTCTGTCCCAGTCCCCTGAAATTGGAATTATAGGCTGTTGTGGGTTGCCTGATGTGGGTTCTGGGAACCAAACTTTTGTCCTCTGAAAGAGCAGTAAGTGCTCTTATCTCCTGAGCTACTTCTCTACCCCTAGATGCATCATTTTATTTTCCTATAACCACTGTTTGAAATGTCACATTTCTCCATATCTGCACCAGCAACTGCTATTTTCAGTTCTAGCCGTTTTACAAAAAGTGGTATCTCAGTGTATGTTTAATTCCCATTTCCTTGTTGATTAATGATGTTGAACATATTTTTCTGTACTCATTGACTGTTTTATGTGCATATCTTGTTTGGAGAAATGTCTTTGGAGCTCCTTCCCCCTTTTAATTTGGATGTCTTGTTTTTGAGTTCTAAGAGTTCTTTGTATATTCTTTATATGTATTTTTTTCATTCATACTCCCTTTCTGTCTCTGGTAGGGATCAAATTATCAGGGCTATGCTCATGTTAGGCAGGTGTTCGTCAACTGTGCTACATCCCCCTCTACTAGAGATAATATATAGTTTTGGGGGGCTAAGGATTGAGACCAGGTGACTCACATGCTACACAAGTGCTATAACCACTCATCTATCTATAGCCTTACCCTCACCTTCAGGCCTTGTAAATAAGGTAATCTCATTTTCTTCCACTCAGAATATTTTCATTTTCCTTATATTTCCCTTGTAGCAAAAAAAAAATGATTTTAATTTTGATCTAGTGCCATTCATTTATATTTACTTTATGTATGTGTTGGTATGTGACATTTTTGCCTAATTCAAAGGACACGAAGATTGTTCCTATATAATTTTTATATATATTTAAATTATTATTTTTATTTTATGTGTAAGAATGTATTGCCTGCATATGTGTAAATGCACACGTATTGTGCAGTGCTTGCGGAGGTCAGAAGAGGATATTAGATCCCCTGGAACTGGACTTACAGACAGTTGTTAGCTGCCAGGAGAGTGCTGGAATTTAAACATGGGCCCTCTCCAAGATCAGTTTGTCCTTTTAACCGCTGAGCCATCTCGGCAGCCCTAGATCCTGTGTATTCCTATAAGCATTTTATACTTTTAAATCTTAAAATTCAGGTTTATGATGTTTCTGTGTGTGCATGAAGGTTGGGTCTTGTTATATAGGTCAAGATGACCTTGAACTCACCACCATCCTCCTGCCTCAGCCTCCCGAGTGCTGGGATTGCAGCTTTGCAGTACCACTCCTGATTGGAATTGGCTCCTTCATTGTGTCTTTATATTATCCAAACAAAATTGATAAATTCATTTGTTCACTAACTCTCAGGGTTTTCTTAGATTCCACAGGATTACCTGTGCACAAGGCATCATCACATTGTTTGTGGAGGTGTAATTTTATTCCCTTCTTTCCAGTGTGAACATCTTTTCTTTCATTTTCTTGCCTGATTATTTTGGCTGCATCACTGACTAATATAATAAAGTTGTGAGAAAGGCCTTCTCATGCTCTTAGGGAACAGAGTCTAGTCTTTCACTCTGAAGATTGAGTTTTGATTGCTTTTTATAGATTAGATATCTTTTATTGGGATAGAAAAGTTCCCCTCTACTCCTACTTTAGTGAATTAAGAAAAGTATTGTGAAAGGTTTGGAGGATTTTTTTTCCAAATGCATTCTTTTCTTTTTTTTTCAGTCTAACATTTTTATTAATGATTTTCATATAATATGGCAACTGCAGTACTTCTGATAAAAACATCATGCTACAAAGAAACAATTCTCCATTAATACATTTGTTTTTGTTTTTTATAATAAAGACATTGAATTGCGTATCTGCACTTTACTTTCCATGAGCAGCTCTAGAGTTAAATGTTACTAAGGCTTCACTTAGATGTTCTAGAGAAATTAAATACAAAAATTTCCTAATTGAATTCTGTTGTCTGCAAAAGCACTTTCTTTCTGGTTCCTCCATCTTTTTTTAAAATTTTTTTAAAATTACTTATTTCATAACCATATGATTAGAAGAGGCATTTCATTACAACAGGATTGACATATTCAATGTCTTTATTATAAACTAAGATGCATCTCTTTCAAAATTGGCAGTAGGTTTTTAGGTTTACAGTTGAATTATTACAGTTATACAATATTTTACTCAGTTAAAAACTCTATAAGACATAAAATTAAATGAGGTTTTAACATTTGAAAAAGATCTCCATTTCATTATTAAAATACACAGTTTCATAGAAAAAATTCATTTTTAATACAGTTGACAATAAGATGCATATGCGTTTCTAATCTCTATATATGATTATTACTAGTCACAGTTGGTTACTTTCTGAGTTACTTAGCATCTGAGCATGGGTATAAAGTCATCAGGTAGATTTCAGGGGTAATGTTTTTCACATCTACTAATTATTAAGGAGCAAATTTTTATGCTTTGAAGAAATTTTTTTTTATACACCCACTTCCCAGGTAGCACCCTCCCATAGCCTCCCTGGCCCAACTAGAGCCCTTATACTCTGATATCCCTGCTACTGTCTG